ATAATCTTTATTTTTCACGAAAGTTTGCTTCTCTACTCCTTGCAAGTGCTTTTCATTTTACAAGTTAGATGACTTAGCACTGAGAATCGTGGTCATATTACAATCTTGATGAAAAGAATTCAGTCAACATTGAAGAATTGAAAGCTGTGTCAGTTGACATCTCATGATGAATTCATATATCTACCACTAGTTTAGAGTAACGTCATAAACTTACCCCGATAAATAGTTTTCAAACAATTTTTTGTGTAGTAGTCATTCAGTATCAATAAACGTGTTTAATTTAAATTTAAGGTTTAAGGTTCAAAACGAAGTTAAATAAATCACCATAATGGGATACTGGTAGTGATTGTTGCAGTAGATACCCTAAATTAGTATTAATTAATTAAGACAGCCTTTACTTGTTAACGAAATTCCCCCGAAAGTGATATTCTATAGGCGATGAAGTAATCCAAGTGGAAGCGGAATCAGAAATACTTAAAATAGGATGATCAATAATTTACAAACTACACGCTCCAAATCGACAGTTGTCAAAGATGAATAGTTTTTCAACTTTCCATCCCAGCTGTTATGTCAACAGGGTTTTCGTTGAAAACTACCCTTCAGTGAAGTTCACAAGGTGGGATTTTCGACACAGTGAAATATGGTATTGAATAACTTGAGTAATTAGAAGCTGCTCAGGGTGCTCTGTAGATTTTCCGAGCCGGATCAAACAATGTAAGTCTCAGATGACCGTTTAGCTCGTTTTCGCCTGAGCTCATCATTGTGTTTTAGGCATAGTGGTCCATGTTAGTCAGTTAGCCAGATTCAGTGATCTGAAGAGTTCAGCTGTATGAACTGAACTTATCCGGGTACACCACTGATAAGGTCGGCCTCAAACGAGAGAAACGGCTTTCTGGTTTTTATACCACTGTAATTTGGCTGGCAAAATCTAGGGATCGGAATCAGAATACACTGAAGGCCGTATTCAGTCATGACAACAAGTCAAATATCGTGTGATGGGAGTGAGATAGAATGAAAATGACGAATAAACAGAGGATTGATTTCTGTCAGGATGTTAGGGATTCTGGACAAAATGCTAAAAATAAAATGCCAGACAGCCTTGAGAGAGTTATGAACAAAATTTCACAGGAATTATTACCTGTCATATGTTACTTTCATTTTCAAAATGGAGCTGAAAATGTGATCGAAATTACATCGTTTAAAAGTATTGCACAACTGGACATTTAATGAGATTTAGTTAAAGTACATAGTGTCACAAACAAGAACATACGAACATACAACGCTACAGACAGTTTTAAACAATGTCATCTGTTGTCTTCAAACAACAGTTTCCACAATCCTAAATGTTGCATCTTAATAAGTTAGCATTCCCATGTAAAAGGTGATTGTGAAGTATTCGAGAAGAAACATATTGTTTGCGTTTAGCCATTCTTCTGTTTACCTCATATTAATAATCACTGTCCCACTGCACTTCTCTTTGGAATGCATGATTGATGTGTTTAAGGTGACGTTTCAGTTAGATATGCGTACTAACTTAGGCACTAGTCGGTCAGTTAAGCCAAGTGATCTCGCTAAAAGTCCAGAATAATAATAATAATAATAATAATAATAATAATAATAATTTATGTTCCTACATTTACAGGTGTATATCACTTTTAAAGATACCATTATTACATTTGGTGGTGAAAAATCCTTGGTAATGTTGTTTGCCATCTCTTCTTCATCCCAGGTAGTGGAATCCCAGGCTGAAAGAAAGAAGATTTATTATTATTATTATTATTATTATTATTATTATTATTAGTCCCTTGGGTTCCTAGTGGGACACAGGGCTTCAGTAGCAAGTCTCCAATGAATTCTGTTCTCTGAAATCTTTTGAACATGGCTCTACGACTGCCCAAAAACTCTCATTTCTTCCTCGCACCATCTCCTCCATGTCAACCTCGCCACTGACGCCTAACTCGTCGCTTCCCATGGGGATTCCATTTGAGGGCCTGGCCTGACGTGTGATGTCCCCAGTCGGCCTCCTCAGTGTATGCCCAATCCATCTCCACTTCCTTCCAGTGCATATTTGTTGGGTGATAGCTTCTTGGTTGGTTCGTTGCAGAGCTCCTTGTTGCTTATTCTTTCTGGCCATCTGATCTGACCTTCATTATCGAAGCAGCGTAGGCAGTTGTTGATGAATGTCTGTAGTTTGTTGGAAATGCCCTTCGTAACGCGCCAAGTCTCTCAACCATCATACAGAAGCACTGACTTGACGTTGGTGTTGAAAATCCGGATCTTGTTCCACATGCTGAGTACAGTGCAGTAGATCTCCACACTGGTTTCAGGTTAATGAATGCCTCTCTTGCTTTTCCGATCCTGGCTGGCTTTGACCTCCTCGTCTGTGCCGCCTGTAGTTGAAGCAGTGCTTCCTTGATAGGTGAAGGAGGTTACTTCATTTAAGTTCCTCCTGTTGGTGGTGATTGCAGCTTACTGTTGTTGTTGGTTGGGTAAGTTCATCTTCTCTGTCTCCTCTATATTCACTTGAAATTTCACAAATAAATGACTCTAAACATTACTGTCTTCAGTAGACGTAACCGTTATTCCAACAAAAAAATGAGAGTCATTTCTATTACAAGTTTTGTAGAAATATATCCTTGAAGCATATACGGTAATGACTAAGCTTCAGTTTAACTTCCAACTGCTAATAAGGAAAATGAAGACTTTGATTTAAGAGTTATGATGAAGAAATGAAAACTTTAAATTGCAGCTTTTATTCTTTTTGTAACATGAACTGAAATGCAACCAATCTAATACATGAGTTAACGTTTCTGTTTTCTTATGAAATTTGTCATGCTAAGGTGATCTAGAAGAGAATAGGATCTACCAGATTGGAAAAAGCTCATGATTTTGCATGGCATTTAGGCAAGTTTGATCAGATAAACAGAAATCAGACAGCTCAACACCGTTGCTGATGATTAATACGACTTCTGACAGATAAAGTGAAGTGTTGAACCTTTTGACAAAAACTTTCGACCAATGAAATAGGTGGTTATTACGAAGATGAAGTTCCTCGATATTTAGTTCAGAAACGCAGTTATTTCTTGACTGAGGGTTTTTAGAAAGATTTTCTCTAAAAATGTTGTAGTCTGAGGAGCGACTATCAAAAATATACACTCAGGTTGTGTTCAGTTTCACCTCCTGCTTGAGTCTATGGTCGAATGGTAACCGATTCATTTGTCAATTAATTGATCTTAATAGAACTATTTTGCCCAAAATTTCATTGTGTCTGCTAAGTGAGACAACATTGTGGTGCGTTGTAAGTCAGAGTAACATTTTAGCAGTCAAGTTCCGATCTGCGCTTCCCACCTGTTTTCACTCGTCAGAGAGGTACATGTACAATAATGAGGATTCTCGTATTCTTTCAAAGATATAACCTCGCACCACTCAAAGTCTTTACATGAGGGCCATTCAGGTCATGCAAGCGACCCCGTAGGACTGGTCAATATATCTTATACTCATGAAGAAGTATGCCAAGAAGAATCATGGTTAGCTTCTCCATGCAACATCTACGTCTGATTGAAATTGTTACACAAAATCTTTGATACAATTTACATGGTGATAAAGCCTCACATATGGTCTCCAATCTGCTGCAAGATTTGAACAGTTAGCCACCTGAACTGACAGATAAGCAACTCTCTTCAGACGATTTGGAGTAGTTTAGGCAACAGGTAACTTGTCTGTGCCTTTTTTCTTCTCTGGGTATCCATAGATCCGGGTAGGTTTAGCTTAAATCACTGACTCAAGTTCTCAGGACACTTCCATTTCATTAAATGACTTTATAGAATGATTATCAACTAAATGACTGGATGCAATCGAAGAAGACTTTTGTTATGGTGGACAGAAACGTTGTCTTACGTCAATTAGTGAGGATCATTGGCTAATTATCAAACTTTCTGTTATCCCTGTTTGGATATTGGTTGTCTGGTGTATGCTTTATAATTTGCATCTTATCTACACCATTTATAAATGAGCAACTGTATAGTTCACCACATTGAAGTCTACTTGGGAGATAGCAGTGGAATGAAGGACTCATGTTTTATCCTACGTGGGACTCGTCAGCTGCATATACTTGGACCCTAGTGAATGATATTTTTCCCATTGGGATTCGAACCCAGTGCCCATAGCTTCGCCATCTGATCTGATGGGTTACTGAATGTAGTCACGTAGTCAGTTGGCCAACGGTACAGTTATTTCATTTCTCCACAGAGTAACTTCAAGAATAGTCATCGTTCGACCGCAGCGAGTAAATACTCTTCAACTCATGAGAAACGTACTTATACAAGTCTATAGAAAACTAGATATAATTACAATACTTTCGCTCACATAAGTTATAACTACAACTCTCTAATTGATTTGGATTTCATCATCGTTTGCATCTATCACCAAGATGCATATGTTACCCAAGGGGGAACTGACGCTTACTCCTGGTTTCGAAGTCGATTCATTCAGTGCAGTAAACACTAAGCTTTTTCAACAAGGGATCTGTTGAATAATCCTCGGTCGTTCTGCTGTGTTTTAATCATCCTATGCTTATTTTCACCCCAGAGAAATTCACTATTATCTAACAGGTTTACTGAACTTTATAATTTGGTCTCTTCTGAATGATCACTGCGTAGTCTGTTAAGAGAGGCCTTCAGTTAGATTGCTGTTAACTGATGATATCCTTTGCGGTGTTTTTACAAGAAAACAATATTTGGGCCTTTACATCAAAACATACATCAGTCTCAGAAACAAATTTGTCACTATCAGTTACTGGACATTTAAGTAGTAAAAAGTAAAGATTGGTGATATTAGTAACCAATCGAAATCTCCACCTTATTTATTGGTGAATTACAACACCAAATTGAACTGTAACTACCAATCATTGATCAACTGTACAAAAGTGCCAAATGGTAGTAGATGAAGCAATCGAAATTGTTGTGTTTGTGCATATGTACGTCCTTTACTATGCAATTATTAAAAGATAACCACATAGTAAGGAGATTGTTAGACACAGTTTTACATCTGTCGCACCTGTACACATGGCGTAGGTGTGTACAACTATCGCATTGAAAATTATATGCATTGTTTATTAGCAACTGGATAACAAAAAGCATTTTTAGATTATTTTTGTTTTACACTAACGTGGTATATACTAATGTACACACACATATACACTCGTACACTCTAGTCTTTAAACCGGTGATCAATCTGCAGTTATGAACAGTTTTCTTGTCAATGAAAACAAAAGAGAAACAATACAATTTTTATTATTACCAGTGTACAAATGAATAGTTGTCACCATTAGTATTAAAATAAATAAATGTGAAAAATTAGTACTACTTGTCAAATTGTTTTATTATTATTATTATCATCATCACCATCAGTATCATCCTTGTGCAAATCATGATCTTCAATGTGATAGTGTTCTGTCTCCTTTGCAGTATTTAATATCTTTGTTCAAGTGTTCAATAACTCATAGATATTTGAGCGGGAAATTCAAAATAAACAAAACATTGAGAATTTAATATATTTATACTCTTATAATACATAATTTATAAATTTGATTATTAGTTGATATATAAGATTTTAAAATATTTTCAAATACGAAAATGAAAGTCGAATTCTCGCTACCGTCAACACTTCAGTATGGTGATTGTATAGAAGTTAATGGAAAAGCAGGAAAAGAAAAGTGAGTGAACTTGATTTCATTTTAATTGTCATTAGACTGAAGATTTTTCGTAATATTTATGTCATTTATACTTTATTTGTTGATAAAATGGCTTAACTTTTATTCTTAGTTCATTTGTATTCAATGTAACTACAATTTTTACTACAGATATGCTGATGATGAAGACGATTTATCGATTAGTGATTATTGATCAATCATTTAAAATGTAGTAGAATATATTTAGTGTTAGATGTTGGAAATCAATCCGAAGAAAGGCTAAGATGTACATCTCACGCTTGTTGGGCGTTATCAGTAAGGCAATAAATTAGTTTCTCTTCAGTGATTCTAATCCACAATACACACTATGAAAGACACGATAAAATTCAAACCATAAAATCAAGTATACCACAAGTACTTTCACATATGTTCAAAAAACACTTTACTGTAATAAAAACAGGAGGCAATTTTGCTTTCTTACTAACTTATAGTCACCATACCATATGTATTCATTAGGTTATTCAAAACCTCTCTTTTTACATACTCATTCATCAGTGTGATGCTTGTTCGCATCGTGAGTAAAATATGAGCCAGTCACATAAAAGCCTTCAGGAAATGTTACATTTTTAATGTGAAGAACTAAAGTGCTTAGTGATGACAGCGTTCATCTCTTTCGAAACATATCTCAAATGACTTAAGGGCAATCATAGTAATGATAACACTAAAATACACCTGAACTGCAAAAACCAAGAACAATTATTGACTGTTCTTTCACAGTACTTTCAGCTTCTATGAACGAAGAAAGTGTCAGGAGATGAAGAATGCTCTGTGATACGACGAATGATTTCAGTAGTGAAAAATACATCATACTCATATACGATTTCCGAGCAAATAGAAGTGTTCCAGAAAAAGGATTAGTTAGCTTGTCTTGATTGACCGAATGTAAGTTGTGACTTTCTTGGAAGACTAATCCAGTTATACAGGAGTATAAATCTATCAGGTTTTTGAATCAGCTGGTGATGAGTTGAAGTAGTCATTTATCTTTTAAACACTTGTTACCAAGGTCAGTTTGTGAAAATGAAAGAACGACTGATTAAATATTGTTGTCAAGTGTATTGTCTTTGTTGAAAACCTCAATAAATGAATCAAGTTTATGTTTTCACTATTACAGTTTGACGCTTAGATTTTCACTCTCGAGTTTTCTGAATATATTATTATTCAGGTAATTGGTATGATATAAAAGGAGAAAACACTCCCTATAACTGATTTCATTTTTCTCATTTCTCTTTGTTCACTTTATCTGATGAATTGGTCGTTCTCTTTTGGCACACCGGTATTTTGAACCGCTGCTTCGACACTACTTCTAGCTTCATTTCGATGTTATGAGACTGTTAGTGACCAGTAGTCTTGTTTTATCTGTGCACTCCGATATATCTATATCTAAGTGCCTTTCCGAAAACACCTCAACTGGACACTAGTATACGGTGCTTTTGACTTCGGGGCGTCATCCATTAGGTTATTTACTGATATCAGTCAAATTTATGAAAGTAGTTCTTCTTCTTATGTGTATCTTATTCGCTTTACAGGACCAAAGTGATTGACCCGTGTTGACATTAGTTGTGTTTAAGTAGTAATTAGAAGTACCTGTGTGAAGTTGAGGTTGACTGGATTCGGAAGCTGACTGTTAACCAGACGGTTCGTGCACTACTTCACCAACTGAGGTTTGGGCAACTAGATAGTACCGCTAGCCATCATACAATAGGTGGAGTTCACTGCCTACTGCACGAATGTGCACAAGGTTGTCTAGTAGATTTTGAATTTAGGTTAAAGTTACTTATAAATCAATATTACATCATCAACACAACTATTACTTATGTTTTATATTCACTAGTAGAATCCAGTTTCTTTTCGTCTCATTGTACAATGTTTAGTTGATACAGTCTGTGAAAGTAAATCCTAAGAATCCATGTTACATGTTTGCTGGTTGCTAGAAGCGTAATCTGTAATCCCCGTTCCATTCCGTTTGAAATTCGTCAGTTGGATGCACCTAGATCCCTGTGTTCGAGTCTCTGCTAAGAGTTAAACTCAACAGCTACAGCTTCAAACATCAAATTGTGATTCATCAGGTTAGTGAGAGTCATAGGTTCGTTTATCAACCATTACTTAGCTCAAAAATAAGTCAAAATGAAACTCAAGTAATATTGAGGCATAAATGAGTTAATAGTTACCAAGATATTCGATTCAGTCGAACAAACATTTGGGAATGAAAAAATCAATTCATGAATCTTGGAAAAGCTGAAATTCCAAGAGCTTTGTAAAATGTGATTCTTGATTATTAGTCTTATTTGTAATATTACGGCAAAATAATTTTTTTTAGAATATGCGATTCAACTACCTTTTCCGTAAAAGCAAATTTGAGAAAAACATAAAAATATGAAACATTGAATTACAGTGGTGGGAATTTGAAATTTCATAATTCATGGGAATGCACTCCTGTCCATTTTTATTTGGATATGAAAATTACTATTGGTTATTTGTAAGCGCTACAGACAAATTTGTTAGAGAAAGAAACTTGTGCATTGAAACATTGAATGTTATGAAGGAAGAAGGGATTATTTGTTTGGTATAAACTCATAGTTCCACTTTATTCTATTTCCCAGTAAAATTATGATAGCCTTAGATTTTTTAATCACATTAGATGAAATCAAGAAATAATAGATGAAGGGAACTTAGGGAACTGTTACTGGAATTTCATATTCCCCCCTCCATTGACTAGCACAATTGATTTGATCGGTTAGTGTCTATTTCTCGTACCGACACCTGAATGCTGGTTTTCAGCTGCAGTTTGATGATGTTTAGTAATGAGTATCAGAGTTCCATCACAGAGGACGTTGAAATGTCGCTATAGTTTGCTGTTAATGGTAAAGCAACTGACCAGCAAATCAAGAGCATGGAACTTGTATCTCTGTTTGCAACCACGACCTACCGATTAACTACCTATCCCATGAGCTAATAGTTATATCTGCTATATGCAGGTAATTCAAAAGACTGTTGGTGGATTCGAGCCTCAGCTAGGGTGTATACACGCCATGTCTACTAAGCAAAAGTAGTAAGAAGCATACATCTTGTATTTTTTGTCAGTTACTATGAAATAATGTCAAATTTTACTTCTTGACAAGGCAGTGTCTCATGGATCCTCCATCAGAACAGTGGGATCAGAGGTGCTTCAGTGCATGTCTTAGATCTGTGAAAAATAAAGGCATATAATTCGTTAACCTACTTGATGATCGATGGCAGCGGAGTCCAAGGTGCGCGTTTCGTCCCACTTAGGAGTTGTTAGATGAGTATACTTGCTCCCTAATGAGTGATGGTGCTCCCACTGAGACACGAACCTCGTAAACATCGTTTCAGGGATCAAAGAGCCATTCATTAGAGCCATATGAATATATAATATCAGCTCCAAACCACATCTTTTTCACTTTTGACGTGCTTTTAGACGGTGTATTGCAACATTGAAGTCAGTGAATACAATAAACTTACTAACATGATAAAAGCCAATATTTCATCCATTATGTTACTTAGCTTAAGTTCAAGCCACATAGCGTCTTGGAATTTCTTGAGCAACAGATGATGGGTGATGTAGTTGCTTTTATAGTAAGCAGTTATTATCCATCAGTTTAATTTGGGGATATGAGGTAAAAGGTGACCTGGAAGCAAATGCCGTGGTCTTGAGCTCAGTCATAACTATAACACAACCAAAGCAGCCCCAATACAATGAGATTTGACAATGACGATAGATGGTGACCAGAATTGGAATTCTAGAGGCGTACTTCATCCTATTTGGGACTGGTCACCAGTATGTGGCTGGCTTGTAGTAAGGGATGTTGTTCCCACTAAGACCCAAGCGCATGACTGATCGTTTCAAATGCCAGAGCTTTATCCACTAGACCAACGAGTCACGAAAATCGCCGCTTGTGCGATAACACATCCGTAAGATTCTTTTGCAACAGTTCTAATTATAAAACAACGAGGCAGTTAATCCGAGGGAATTCAAAGAACTTTAGAATAGCAGACCTTACCATGAGAACTGACCAAGGGAACAGCATACCTATTGCCTTGGGTGCGGTGATGCATATTTACACAACACGATGGAACAGACCTAGGGGTCAGTATACTCAGTGAAGTTTAACAGAGGTGATGAATAAAATACAAGGAAATCCTGAGTAATCAAATCATTTGTACGAGCAGCCACAACTAGGCTAAGACACTCGACTTGTGAAAAAGTTCCCGCCTCACTTCAGTTGTGAAAACTCTATCCTCGCTGTCGTGCTACGGAACGATGCGTAACTATCTATTCTTATTCGGTGTACTAGTTGACGAGCTAAGTCTGTTACATCAACTTTCTTCATGTCAATCTGAGTAGGGTTGAAATAGACAGGAAGAACAGATGGCCTATTTTTAGTGGAAACAGTCTTTTTCCATGCCATCAAAACTGAATACTTGCAACATGGGTGATTGAACCTGTGTTCTATACACTTTAAATTCTTTCTATAATCATGGAGATAAAAGACTTTAACGTTATAATAGTCAGTGAAAAAGTCCGCCTGAAAGTTTTCGTATCATCCAGCTACGACTAAACAATAAATTGTGTTAGACGCATTATCTGGGAAGAAGGTGTAAAAAAAGAAACTACTATAACTACTGTTAAGATTATTGTTATCCACCGAATGCTGAATGTCCGCATATTCTTGCACTTATTATGCACACAGTTACTATTGATTCCGTAATCTGCTTGGTGAATAGCTGCGGAATCTAGGATGCACGCTTCGTCCTATTTGGGATTCTTCAACTGGATGTACCTGCATCTCAGTGCCTCAGTGGCTTAGCGAGTAGCGCTCTGACTTTCGAACCCATATCCGCCGGGTTCTAGTCCCTGTTAGGGATACCATCCCTCACTGGAGTGTGGGTATATTCAGTCGATGAGCCTCAAGTAGGACGAAATACATCCTGGACTCTACTGAAAG